TATCTATCTATCTATCTATCTATCTATCTATCTATCTATCTATCTATCTATCTGTAACAGTCTCATCTGGCCTCAACACCGCAATCCTCCTGCCTCAGCCTCTTTAGTGCTGTAATTATAGGCACTCAGCTCCACAAAATTATGAATGCATCATCAGCAGTCTTTTCAAGCCAAGCCTGGTGGTGAACACTCGTGATGTTGGTACTTCCTAGGCAGAAGCAAGAGGATCACACATTTGAGGCCAGCCTGTGCTACTGAATGAGTTCTAGGGCAGCCTTAGCTACAACTGTGAGACCCAATGCTAAAAACAAGAACAAAACAACTACAACATTTTCTGCTGCTTTCTTTAAGCCCCTTAGCTCCACCATTCCATAGACACACAAATACCAAGGCCACCAATCTCCTCCATGGGTGACTGTCATTCCTAGGAGCCAAGCGATCATCAGCCACAGGTATGATGGGCAGCAGAGCCCTGGCCATGTCCTAGCTAGCGTTCATCACACTTGTGAACCAGTGGGAAAAACACTCAGCATGACTGCCCATCTCCCATCTCCCCCCCTCCGACCCCCGTGGTGGCTGCTATAGTGCTACAGTGGTAGAGGAGGCATCGCAACCCTGCCAGGGGAAGGAAGCGGCCCAGCTCCGGCCCCCACTGCTTCTCCTTTCCTTACTGTTCCTCTCACTTTGGCCTTTGGTGGGAAGGTCTAGGGACTTCCAGCCCTTCTTGGGCAAATATATTTGTAGATGTGTTTTCTGCTTCCCTCCTTGTTCTTTCCCATTTGTGTGGACAGTAGCATGTGAGGTCTCTGCCCACTCCACAGCATCCTTGGGGTTTGTGTAGTAGCTGTGGCCATGGGCACAAGCAGCTTGGAGGCAGGCTCCAAGTACACCTGGCAAGACTGAGCTTTCATCTGGGACTGTGGCCCTCTGTAACTCCTCTGCCCTCCTACATTTTCAAAAGTACTTTATTTTGTGTGTACGCGTGTATGGGGGCAGCTGCATGCATACCACGGTGCAAAGTGAAGAGATCAGGGGACCACTTTATGGAGTCAGTCCTACCTCATGGCTCTCAGGGAGACTGAACTCAGGTCACCTTGAGAACAGGCAGGAGGCTGCTTCCCTCCAGCCTCAGAGCAGCAGTGGAGGCTAACTACCGGCACGGGCACCAAAGGCCTGGGGCAGGCCCTCTTTTATCTGTGCCCCTGGAGTAGGAGGCCCTTCTGTATTTGTGTTGCTTTCATTGGTTATTAAAGAAACTGCCTTGGTCTAGTTGATAGGATGGAACTCAGGTAGGTGGGGAAGACAGAACAGAATTCTGGGAGGAAGAAGAGCAGAGTCAGGCAGACGCCATGATTCTCCTGCCAGAGACAGATGCTGGTTAGACTCATGCACGTAAGCCACAGTCAAGCGGCGATACACATTAATCGAAATGGGTTAAACTAATAAGTGAGAGTTAGCCAATAAGAGGCTAGCACTAATGGGCCAGGCAGTAATTTAATTAATACAATTTCTGTGTGGTTATTTCCGGTGTAAGCTAGCCAGGCGGGACTGAACAAAAGGGCCCCCGCGCTCCTCACTACATGCCCCCAGCCAACCAGAAAGTAAGCAAGGGCCCCATCTGCATCGCTGTGGTACCCCGCATGCTCAGGTGGAAGGTGGTGGCATTCTGACCTGGGCTCCAGCCTGGGTCTCTCTTAGCGCTGCCAACTGGCCCTGCAGAACCTTCACCTCTTCCTTCTTCTGCTTTTCTGCTTCTTTAGTGGCTGCTCTTTTCTGGGCCTGGTTAAAAAAACATTTTCCCCATTAGAGGGACTTTCTTAGGGGTAGCTTCAGACATTGGGCGACAAACTGAAGCATCTAATTTGGACAGGACTGTAACTCGTATTAAAAGGAAATACTTCGGTGATTTACTAAAGGTTTGTACATCACTGATCCCGCTCTCCCTAGACATGAAACACTGGTCTTACAGGCATGGCACAGACAGGCCAGAGCCTCGCACAGGGCCTGCTTCTTACCAGACTGTGCTTCTCCACATGGGCTCCTAGAAAGAAACTGGCCATTTATTCATGTCTCAGGTAGCATTGTTTTTTTCTCTCTCTCTTTCTTCTCCTAGCCCAGCCTGTCCTGTATTCACAGCAATCCTCTTAGCTCTGCCTCCCAGCGCCAGGACCACAGGCATGAGTCAGCATGGCTGGTCTGTGGTCCAGGTTAGACTGCAGTTCCATCAACCCGTGAGGCACTCACCCTGACTTCAGCCTCCGTCGGCCTGCCGTCTATCTTAGCGATTCCCTCAAAAATGGCTTTGTAGAGCAGGTTCCTGCGTGTGCTGCTGTCTTCTGGGGGAAGGTGCTCCAGGGTGAGGGCTGGGTGCTGTCTGTACATGTCCAGGATGATTCTGACTGCTGTCTCTCGCACCTCATATACCTTGTGCTCCAGCGCGCTCAGCGCAAACTGCAAAGAAAGCAGCCTCAGCTCTGCTACTGATTTTCTAATAACAAAGTTAACTTTTCCCAGCACAAGAGAGACTCAGGTAAACTGCAGAGACTAGGAAAATAAAGACAAGGCAAAGAGGAGACAAGAGCAGAGGGGGGCCACACACCTAGAGTTCTCTTCTACATGCTGGCACAGCACACTGGAGTCTAGCACTGGGCTTTGCTTTCACCACTGGTGCGCTGGGAAGTACTCCTTAATTTACATCCACAAACTTCCTATTGGGAAACACTCCAAATGAAGTGGGTGATGCCTCTGGGACTTTTGTTTATCTGTCTGCCCAGGCTGCTTTCATCGGCAGCTGACATGTGCTGCTGCCTGCAGGCTGTCACTGTGCACAGCGTCTGTGCACAGCTGTGTCTGTGCAGTTTGTTGTTTTGGCATCATGAGCAGGGTGCTGGGATGCAGCTAGTGTTAAGAACACTGGTCTAACATATCCATGTGTTCTGTACCTAGAACCCTAATCGATCAGACCACCAAAAATACTGGTGAGATGGCTCAGCCAGTAAAGGTACTTGCCACCAAGCCTGACTGCCTGAGTCTTGGCCTTGGGAACCAGAGTGGAAAGAGAACATGACTCTTACAAATTATCCTCTGACCTCCACACGCACACTGTGCTTTCTGCTTGCTCTGTCTGTCTGTCTGTCTATCTATCTATGACAGTCTCATCTATGCAGCCCAGGCTGGCCTCAACCTGGTTATCTCCACATGCACACTGTGTCTCAGCACCATGCTTTCCACACCCTGAGCTCACTCACCTTATGTTGGTGGTTCCCAACCCCTAAATGACCATCGGAAAACACAGATATCTACATTATGATTCCTAACAATAGCAAAATTAGTTATGAAGTAGCAACAAAAATAATTGGTTGGGGGTCACAACATGAAGAGCTGTATTAAAGCGTCCCAGCATTAAGAAGGCTGAGACCCTCTGCCTCTGACTTCCGTTTTCACTCCACTGTGGTGCTGTCATACAGTCAATGCCTCCCTAGTGGCTCTGGGCCCTGGGTCTCCCACCTCTCACATTTCTGCAGGGCTCAGCCGAGTCCCACTCTTAGGCTCTACCTAGACCTGGCTGTGCGCTGTCACCATATGGCTCTCACACTGAGTCTGTGTTTCCTCTACTCATACATCAGAGAGTCTGGTCCACCCTGCTGCTGAGTCTCCCGGTCTCTGCACTCAGTCTGCACTGCACAGCCACCCTGGTCCTGCTCATCCAGTCTTGCAGTCACCCCGTACCCCTCTCCCTTTCCTTCGTATCATCGGGGGCGCTGAATGTGATGGCAGCCATCAGTGTCCCACTGGTTTATTTTGTTTCACCTCAGTCTTGGGTCACACACACTAGGGGTGTCTTGTACCATGGACAGCGAGGTTCAGTCATGAAACAATGATCCAGGCCAGAGACCAAGGTAGGCATGGTTTGTTTATAGTCTCTGACGTATTCTTAAGCAAATAGTTTTTTTTTTTCCAGGTTTTTTGAGACAGCATATTATGTAGCCCAGGCTGGTCTCAAATTTCTCCTGCCTCTACCTCCTACGTGCTGGGATTGCAGGAGTGTGCAGCCTGGTGCATTCAGTGTTGCAGATTGAACCTGGGGGTCTATGCTTGCCAGGTGAGCATTCAGTCAACTCCCCAAAGAATGGCTCTCATGATTTGCTCCCCACTGTGGATAGTGGCCTGTGCATTCTATGTTCTCATCAAGGGTGAAGCCCCTCGATGCTCCCGCATGCTCACTGGCTCAGTCACTGATTGGATAGCCCTTCCCTAAGCTGTGACACGGGGGCCAATATTCTGCTGCAGGAGGCTGGCTCACCTTCATCACACTGTCCACGGTGAAGCCTGAGTTCCCAGTGCCCAGGTCTCTCAGCAGCCGGGCCAGAAGGTCCACCTGGCTCATTGCCAGATGAGTGGAAGCATTGGGCTTCAGTGGCTGTACCAAGTAGGATGGAATGAGTTGGAGAGATTTCACCTCCTTAAACAAGGCCATTTCCTACAAAAATGTAGCATGATTTGTTAATTATTACAGGTAAAAAGCTAGAGGTAATTTAGTACAACTTAGCATGACTGTCACGTTGAACACCCGAGGGAACAAACAGGGAAGTGAAGGGATGGTGATAAGCCACACGAGAATTAGGAATGGGAGCTGGGGTTTCTTGGAAACAGTTAGGGAGGGGGTAGAACCACAGATCTGAAACACAAGACATCAACATGAGAGTCAGGAGAACGTTGGAAACAAATAAACTGAAAACCTGAAGGATTCTATTCTTGGCATTTCTCAACCTCAATAAAACCATTTTCTGAATGTAAAATGTGGAAAAGATTAGACTTAGAGATAGAATTTTAGCATCAAATGTCAATGATTCTCTACTAATGTGATCACTGGTGGACCAGAGGAAAGTCCTATCTATTGCTTCCATTGTTGGGTGACAGGGTCTCACTACAATGCTTAGGTCTCCTTGAACTTGCTATACCATGCTCAGTATGTAGTCACAATCTCTCTTTGTATTTGGGCCATGAGTGGTGGCTCAGATACAAAGGACAAAGGCACAGTAAATATGGCCTCCAAAGGTCAGGACAACAGGTTCCTGAAATGACAAGTGGGCCTGAGCATGAAGGCTTAGGGACAGGTAACCTGGCAACTTTGAAAGTTTATTTTTATTCATGTGAGTGTGTCTGTGTGTGCACTTGTGCTATGTGTCTTTGTATATGCCACATGAGTGTAGGTGGAGGCCACAAGAGGGCGCTAGATTCTGTGAGCTGGAGCCACAGGGCAGTGTGAGAAACCACGCGTGGGTTCTGGGAAAGTGCAGTAAGCACTCTTCACAGAGCTGCCTCTTCAGCCCTAGTGAGGGAGCCTTAGACCACCCAGAAACTAACAGGAAAAGCCAGGCAGAGAGGCACTCTCCTGGAGCGCTAGCAAAAGGGATGCTGGGGCAGGGGACCTGTAAGTTGAGGGTAGCATGGCTATATGGTAAACTGTCTTAAAAAATATTGAACGTGAGCTGAGTATGGTGGCACACTCTTGCAGTTCTGGTTGTGGAAAGGCTGAGGTAGGAGGAACACCTGTACCCAGGAGGTGGCCTGGGTGACACGGCAGACCCTGTCTCTTCAGGAAAACAAAAACCAAACCGACTTCACACATAGAAAAGAAATGAGGCAATACACATTTTCATTTTTGCTGAGACTCATGAAATCCTCCTGCCTCTGTCTTTCAAGGACTGATGTTACCTTTTTACGGTGACACCCTGCCCAAGCTCTGTGCTACAAGCACATGGCAGCACTTCTGCTTTTTGTTCTTTCTTGTTTTGAGACAGGGTTTCTCTGTGTGTCAGTCCTGGCTGTCCTGGAACTCACTCTGTAGACCAGGCTGGCCTCGAACTCAGAGATCCATGAACCTCTGCCTCCCAAGTGCTGGGATCAAAGGTGTGCGCCACCACCGCCAGCCTGTTCTGCTTATTTTTTTCCATAATTGCTTTCCCTGAAATACGTTTCTTAATAAACCAAGTCTGGGATTCCTCACATTTTGATAAATGACAAGAGCCTTAAGACAGATGTTCTAAGTCACAAAACTTGCATCAAATTTTAAGGAATTCTTAAATTTTCTCCAGTCCAGATATGGAGCTTTAGGATCCCTAAATCTGCTGGGCAGTGCACACCTGTATGACCCCAGGGATTAGGAGGCCAAGCTGGGAGCACCATATCTAGTTCTGGGTTACTCTTGGCTATGCACAGTACTAGGTGGCTACATGAGACCATGTCTCATAATAAGCAAAGCAAAGCAAAACAGCTTCCTGAACTAGATGCACTCATCAGCTAACTTAAAGCCAATACTTTTATAGCACTTCCTAAACTCTTGCCCACGTGTGACGTGTGACTTTCACACCGAGGCTAGAGTAAGTGTGCTCGGTTAAAGGGTGAAGACAGACTCGGATAGGACTGGGTTTCCTTTCCATTTTTGTTAGCAGCCCTCTAGGTGACTGCATCCCGTTCCTCTGATCTCGGCATGTATGTGGGTGTGAGCACACCACAGAGGGAGAGGAGGGCAAAAGACAGTTTGCTGGAGTTCATTCCTTCAACCCTGTGAGTCCATTTCAGGGAGTAAACTCAGGTTGTCAGGCTTGGTGGCAGGCACCTTTTACCCACTGAGCTATTGCCCAATGGCATGTGTGTGCATATCTATGTATACCAGCATGTGTGTAGGTGCATGTGAAGGCCTGAGTTGATTTCAGGAATCTTCGTCCATAGTTAGTCCATCTTATTTGAGGAAGGGTCTCTTAATTGAACCCAGAGACTGCCTACACGGCTAGTCTTGCTAGGCAGCTTGCTCTGTGCTCACCCTGTGTTTATGTGGGTTCAAAGAATCATAACTGTGAATCAGCAACTGTTTTAACTGCTGAATCATCTTCCTAGCTTTACACAATCCTTATTTTTATCTCCGATAAGCTGGGCGTGGAGTCATGCTTGCAATCTGAGCACTTGGAAAGCTAGGGCAGGAAGATCACTGAGTTTCAAGGAGCAAGCCTGGACTACATGGTGAGTTCAAGTCCAGTCTGCATTACAGAATGAGGCTGCCTCAAAACAACAACATAAGCTTGTATAGATAGAGCTCATTCGTCTCAGCTCTGGGGAGCATCACGGCAGCTGCCTGAGGATCCAGCAGCAGAGAACCCCGTAAGGCAGAGTCAGACAGCCACAGGAAGGTGATGGGGAAGTTCAGACCTGAATGAAATTCAGAGCCATGATACGGAGGCGAGCAGAGGAATCTCCGGTTCTGGCGAGTAAAAGGGGAATGGTCCTCTCTACACAGTGCGTTGTCTCCAGTTTGCTCAGCTTGTGCTTGGGAATGTACTGGGTAATTATCATTTTCACCAACTTCAACGAAGCCTGAAAGACCTGAAGAAACGAGGTTAGACAGATCAGCCACTGTGGTGGGAGTTCAGGAGGGAAAGGAGACCAAAATGTGAACCTTATACTACAAACTGCTTCCAAGTACAGCACCCCACACCCAGAGCCCTGCTCACTGTGCCCCCCTCTTGACACTTCTGACCACGTGATGCCAGCTCAGCACTTCTGAGAGACACCCAGCCCCTCCACTTTTCATTTTTGAACACTCAATCTAAAGCCTGTCCAGAGCTACAAAAAGGAACTCAGCTTGTTGGCCCCACAGTCTCATGAGAAGGAGAGCACTCAACACATCTGCTGAGCTCTGTGCGGAAAACAGGGGCTGTGCGGAGCAGAGAAGAGCCCAGGCAAGCATCTGCCATTTTCCTGGAGCCTAGGATGTGCCTCTTACTGGAGAGCCCTCATTCCTGGTCTCACTGAAAGCTAAGTCACAGTTATGTCAATGACCTGGGGACAGCGGGCAGAGGGACTTACTGAGGTCACAATGTCCTTTATGGCTCTTCTGATGAGAAAGACAGATGCTCTGAGCATGTTTTTCAAATCCTCCTTCTGGGTTCCAACAGGCATCTCCATCAGCTTCTGGTACAGCGCCAGCAGGGCATCTTCCCGGCAGGACCACGTCTTAGAATAGGCCCCGGCCACCTGCCAGTCAACAGCAGTCCTGTCTCAGCTCAGGAGGCAGACTGTCCAGCCCTACATGGCCATCCCAACTGCCATCCTGCACTCCAAAACTCTTCTGTAGGAGGAAGCCCTCTGCAGAATTGAGGGGAAATCTGAGCTACACTGGGGGGAATTTAAGACCTGAGACCTCCACATGTGAACAGCAGGATGTACACACACGCACGTACACACACACACACACACACACGTTAAACAAAGCAAAACCCCTGCAGCAATTTTCTCCTTCTCTCCCTATGCTGGTGTGCTCTGTGTCTGCAAGGATCTGCACACTTGCATGCCATACATGTGTATAACTTGGCTTTTCATTTTTACCAATGCTTCGCCTAAGATGTCAATGGCAGAACTGGCTTCTCTCAAGGCCTTCTCTGTCAAGGGCTCTGGTTCCCCTGAGACACCCCGTCTCTGAACATCACTGCTGTCTGTGTCTTTCACTTCGGGCTCGGTGGATGCTTCCCCCAGTTGCTTCCGAGTAATGGGAAGAGGCCGTTCATCATAGGGCAGGGCGTCCACCTGGAGGTGAGCAGAGGCGAACAGAGTGCTGGGGTGGGCGCTCTGCCAGGGTGTCTCGTCCACAGACTGCTGGGCAAGAGCTCTAAAGGAATCAGTCTGCTAAGCACCAGGTTAGAATAATTCCTACAAGTGGGCTGTAATTGGAAAAAACTGATGAAGCCTTCCATTCTGTCAGACTCTCCCAGACATGGAGTATAGCATTACCACCTCAGAAGTCAGCTCAGACTCTAGTCACCTGCTGCCACTCTAGTTCAGCTGACACAGAGGACAGGAGGAAGGGTCATCCCGTTATTTTTCAGACTAGTGTCTGTTGACATACTCTTACTGCATTGCACAGAGCAATAAACATGCTTCTTTAGGGCCCAGTGAGGGAAGCTGTAACAAGTGTCCTCTGTGATGCTCCTTGGTGAGGCAGCTGCCAACCCAGCCTTCAGTCCTTAGCACCTAAATCACCAGGCGCTGCTCTTGGTGCCCACACAGCAAGGAGGATGGACCTTCTGCCCTCACAGCCTCATTCAGTCAGAGACAAAGGCATAGAATTGAAGAGGCAAGGACACAGCAGGGTGAGAGCTGAGGGAGCACACGGTGCTGAGAGCACGGTGCTGAGCGCACACGTGAGTGAATCACTTGTGTGAAACCCTGAGACACATGGAAGGCCAGGCCACAAGGGCATCGGGACCCCTTCTGTAGAGGCCTGGTGGGGCAGTCAGCACAGGGACCTGCTCTGTTCTTGCAGCTGCTGGAGTGTATGACTAAGTTGGTCCAGATGACTGAAGTGAGGGCCCAGGAGCAAAGGTGCTGCTGTGACAGCCCAAGGACAAGGAGCTGGGGAGTCAAGTGATGGGAGGAAATCTGCTGGGGAACTCCTTCAGCCAACAGCCTTTAAGATACTGGCCCACTTTGGGCATGGTCAAATATACTATATATACAGATATAAAACGTGTGTGGTCCCTTGGCTGCTGGATTCGGTTCCTGTTCCCCACTCATGCATAAGACTGCTGATCTGTGAGTCTACCCCCAGATAAAGAGACCTTTATTGTACTCCATTCTGGGCTAGTGTGGGACTGCTTTATTATAATCAACAACAGAAATCAGGTTGCTGATTCTAACAGGCATGGTGACCACAGGTACATGACTGAGGTGTCCTCTGGAAAAGTATGGATAGGGAATTTACCCATTTATTTTGAGACAGGATCTCACTCTATTGTCTTGGATGTCCTAGTCCTTGCTATGTAGTCCAGGCTGACCTGGCAGCAGTCCTGCCTCAGCTCCTTGAGAGCTCCAGGAATGGAATTTACACAGGCTCTCTTATTCCCTGAAGCAATGCTTGACATAGATGAAAAAACTTTGTGAGCCCACAGACGACATGGCAGACCCATGTCAGATGGCCTGACAGGCCAGGTGACAGATGTGCCCCTCATGTGGCCAATGGACTATGCTTGCTTGTGCTCTGCTCTAGCCAGCATCCCAGGTCCCTTCTGGACTCGGGGAGGAGGGCTGGCCCTGGAGGCAGGCACACCTGTGCTTTGGGATTAGTACCCAGTACAACCCAGGTCCTCAGTGATGCTGCTGGTGGCAGTCAAGCTGGCGTGGAGTAACTTACATGGCTTCTAGGGCCTGCGGCAGGTGGGGACTGGTCCACTGCTGAATGTCGAGGAGACGATGCCAAGGGATATGCCAAGGGCTTTTCCTGGAGGGCAGGGCCTGCAAATGTGCCTTCTGTTTCCAGCTCTTCTGTGCGCGGCAGTGAGGATGCTGCCTTCCAGTGCTGGGGACTGCTGGGAGATGCAAGGGGCTGGAGGGGCAAAATGAAGGGCCTCTGCATCTGGAGGAAAGATGGACAAGGGGCCATGACCACTGCAGGTCATCTGAAGGACAAGGGGCCATGACCACTGCAGGTCATCTGAAGGACAAGGGGCCATGACCACTGCAGGTCATCTGAAGGAAGCTGTGCTGACCACACAATGGCCTATTGGTAAGTCCTGGGACCATGGCATCGCCTCAGCTGTCTCTGCCACAGTTACAGCACAGATCACACGCAGTCCCAAACACCCAACAGCCTGAGCATGTGTGCTTGGGCATGATCACAAACATACTTGTGCTAGAAGCACAACAGTAGGCAGGTGGCACTTGGGCAGGACCCTGGGTTCAGAACTGGTCTACGCTGTTCACAGATGGTCAAGTGACTCTTCACAATCCAAACAGGCAGGGCTGACGGATGTCACACTGTGATTCTCACTGATTTATGTTTAACTTGCCAGGAGGGCAGAGGTAGATATAGAGCTGGCATTACCAGCACCAAGTCTGCCCCCACCTGCATTCAGCACCGTGTCCCCTTCCTTGACCTACCATGTAGTCAGCATCTGTCTGATGAACTGTGGGTTAGGAATCTTGCTAGAAGTCTGTCTCCACTCACTTAAGACTACTCCAGGGGGTTTACACCCGAGGGCATGTGGCACAGGTACCACACTCTATACAATATGGCGACCGGGCTGGAGGGGTCCCTGGTAAGTGACAGTGCCTTGATCTTCCAGCCCTGGGCTCCCTCTCCTCATCTTCTATGTGAACTCTGGAAGATCCCATCCCAGCAGAGACCTTCTGACTGCACATGGCAGAGTGCCTGCTTTAGCCCACACATTCACAGCCCAAGCACAGCTCTGGTTAGCCCTTCATTCTCCCCCACTTGCCCCTACCCTGTGGCCCATTCTGACCTCTGGCTCGCCCTGCAGGAGGCCGTGCAGCTCCAGCTGTTCGTACACCTGGGCACGGTAGCGTGCCATCTGCTGCTTCTTCTCCTTGGCCAGGTCATAGTCTTCCTTCTCCACGGCACAGCGCTTCTCCACCTCGAAGCGCCCCAGGCGCTCACCGACCTTCTGTAAGTCAGCGATCGCTTGCTTCAGTTTCTTTGCGTGGTCATAGCGCTCCTTCTTGACAGCATCCCGTTTCTTTTCGTCCAGCCTGCGGATGATCTGTGCAACTTCAGGGTCTTGGTACATGTCAAACGCCAAGTCATCAAGTGGGGAGATATAGTCAGATCTCCTGCAGAGAGAAGACGACCCCTCAGGTCAGGAGAGCCGAGAGCTCGTGCTGCACACACAGGTGAGAAGGTCCCAGCACTGTTCATGGGTCAGGCTGCAGCCATGAGCTATCTGGGGCTCTTGTTTCTGGTGCTTGACCGAGCTGTGTGTCAGGCCAAACCACAGATAAACTCAGCATCCATGACCACATGATTATGCCACTATTCTTAAAATTTACAGCATGGTAGTGATGAACTCCACTCTGCGGTCACCAAGTACAGCCACAGCATTGCCGGGATCACACTGCAGACTCAGGACCAGCTCAGGGTCTCACAGCAGTGAGCCAAACACAAGCTGTGACTCAGCTATTTTACATAGAGGTAAAGTTTAATTATATATTAGTTGTCACAAAGACTTTAGTTGGAAACTTGAATAAGTTCAAATGGGACTTGGGCACACACCACATTTAAAAATCCCCAGGTTCCTTTCTACCACTCCATTACCCGTTTACCCAGGCCCTCTGCGTGGTAGCCTGGTGACTGTGAGGGACAGCTGCAGCGGCTCTGGCCATGCCTTCTGTCCAGTAGTTTTAGGGTTGATATAACATACATGCTGCCCCACACGCCACACGCTTGCAACTCTCAACACTATGCTTGCAACTCTATGTCACTTGGCCACGACGCCCCAGAAGTAATATAAAGGTTTTATTTTTAAAAATCTCACCAGAAAAAAGGAAAAAAAAAGTTCCATGGTGCCATAGTCAGAATTTGTAGGGCAGGAGCACACTCACTCTTATGCAGTACCCCAGCGCCAGGTCAGGTTCTCACACCATGAATCTCAGCACCAACACTCAACTCCACAGAGTCCACACACTGCCCCACACTGCCCCACACTGAAGGTGGAAGCTCTGCTGGAGCGTGCCATTGCTGTGGTGCACCAGCTCTGAGCACAGCCTGAGGGCTGAGGCACGGTGGGCAGCTGCATCACTGTTCTCAGGCACCTATGCTAACACCTGAATACTCAGAACTGAAGCATCTCTGAACGGCAGCAGTGCAGGCATGTAAGATATGCAGTCACCTTAATCTCTGCATGGACATAAGACAACCCAACCAGTGGTTTCCTGCTCTCATCTGACCTAGGCCTCATGGAGACCTCGAATCTCCGGAATGACCGAGGAGTTATGAGCTGTATGTGAAGGAATTGGTGGGGAGGGGTCTTACCCGGCAAAAGTTCCTTCTAGGGCTGGGTCCTCATTGTGGGGACTGTGGCCAAGGTAATGATCAATCAGCTTCTCTCTAGAGGTCTTTGGGGGACAAAACATCTTCTTAGACTCTCAGCAAACAAAAGACAAAACAAACCTTAATTTTACAACTGTTTAATAAAGAGGTGCCAGCAGGACTCAGTGGCTCTAGTTTTTTGGACAGGCAGCTAAAATCCTTGAGGAAAGTTTTGAGGCCTTCTTAATTGATACTTTTTTTTTTGTGATGAGAATTAATGATTCCTCCTCCCACAGAAATTTCCTTTACTTTTTAGGAATTAAACTTCCCATACTTACAATATTGCTTTCATCACCAAAATCTGCAGGGTCTCCAATGATATTTATCGCAACCAAAGCCACCTAAGAAATAGTTAAATCAGCAGAAATCAAGTATGAAGTGTTTGAGATGCCTTAAGCCCTTGAACCAACTCTTGTCTGTGTTGCTATCAGGTAGGAGGGTGTGCGATGACAGTAAGCGTCACTCTGATGTAGAGAACTGTGACGGGCTCAATAGACAATAAGAACTACTCTTCTCAGGCTCAACCAAGTTGCTATAGCTTATAGGTTTCTAAAACAGTAACCGCTAACCTAGACTTTTAGCAGTCTCCCAATAAGAGGTCTCTACCCACATTACCCCAGATGAGGAAAAGAAACACGAAATCAACACACAGCTAACCCAGGTGCTCATTTTCACCTCTCTCCTTCCCACCCATCACTGTGGTCCAAGTTCCTAACCACTTCCTACTGGTGGACACGGTAGGTAAGGTGGTGGAAGGATTAGAAAACGTTAGAAGCGGTCCCTCCAGCTTCCTGACGCCATGCTACAATGGACCTCATGACGGAGCAGCTGAGCATCTCACAACTCATTCACCTGTTTCGACGATGTGACCGTTGGCTTTCTCCTACTCCTCTTGGAGAGGCAGCAAGGGGTACAAATGTGTGTGCAAACAAGATTGTTCTGGACACACCTGATCTCCTTTGTCAGGGTGAGATTGTGTCCTACCAAACATTATACCGCTAAGCTACACAGGCTGTTCCTAGCGCTGAGCTACACAGCCTGTCCTTAGCATTGCGCTGAGTTACACAGGCTGTCCTTTAGCGCTGTGCAGAGTTACACAGGCTGTTCCTAGCGCTTTGGCTGGCTTTGGGAATATATTCCTCATACTGGGTTGCCTTGCCCAGCCTTAGTACAAAGGCAGGTGCTTAGTCCTATTGCAACTCCATATGACACGCTTTGCTGATACCCATGGGAGGCCTTCCCCTTTCGGAACAGAAACAGAGGAGTGAACTGGGGGTGGGGTGGCGGAGGGGAGATGGAAGGAGGGAATGAAGGAGAGGAGGGAGGAGCAACTGAGGTTGGCATGTAAAGTAAATAAGTCGATTAAATTTTAAAAAAGAAAGAAGAAAGAAGAGGCAGCAGTGCCGCTGGAGCAGCTGCAGCAGAGGCGGGCAAGCGGCTTCCCTGGCCTTGGACAGTGCAGACGGGTTATCTGCGTCACGCTGCTAGAGCAGCTGCCAGCCAAAGTCACACACACTGTCCGCAAAGGAAATACGAGGTAGAAACCGTGGAAGCGATTTTACCACAGAAGTGTCAAGCTACTGCACACAACTGAAGCACAAAGCCCAGGAACCCTTCTTGCACTCTCTTTCATCTGAGTCTGGTCCAGTCAGAGGCTCTGATGTGCCCATGACTATATGCCAGAGTTAACATACGGGAGAGTCTGGCTTCGGAGAGCAACAGCCGCTCACACAATTGCTCTCAGGAGTGTGCAGGTACGAGGACACCTGAGCAGTCCGCTCATGGAGGTGTGCGGTGAGGGGGTAGAGGGTGTGGTGTGCTGTGGTGTCACGGCAAAGCCTCTCACACACACAGGCCTTACCTGATTATATATGTTGTACTTGTTGGCATGGTTTTGGTGAAAGATCAGCTTAAGAAACTGCCCCACAGCATCCACGTAGACAGACTTGAGCTCCCGGGCTTTGCAGCCTGTCTTTTCGTTGTCACACAGAGAGACATAGCTGGAAGGAAAGTCACACCTGATGAACAAAGCTGTTCCCACTGAACCCACAGATATGGTAACCCTGCCTGCTAAGCATGAATCCCAGGCATGTGTTGGGAAGATCACAAAGAGCCAAGAGGGGCAACCCACGAAGCCGTCAGGCTCAGGGCACCCCCGTGCACCGAGTCTCATCCTCACCCCAGTCTGCGGAAGCGCTCTGCTTGGTACGGCACCAGGTACTCAGGCAAGCTTTCACTGATGTAGAACTCAACCTTACTGGAGATCATGTACTGGTGAGCGAGGAGCTGCAGTTTCCTTATCCGACACCTCTCCACCATCTGGAGAACAATCTCTTGTGGAAACTGGCAGAATCTGAAAGCAAACACAGCCTTGGGTTTCTGAGAAATGTCTGCAGTTTCCTGTCGGCCTGCTTCCAGGCAGGGGAGCGTGAGGCACGACATTCTGGATGTGGGGTAGCTGAGTGTTTAACTACACACTGCATGAGCACCAAGCAAGACTTGGCTAGAGCACTGCTTCTGTCAGCAAGGAACCTACACAGCCAGGCACAGCCATGACTCAGCAGTGTAGTGTGCTGAAAGGACAGCACTGACACACGCTAGCTGGCAGGCACTGCGGGCACGTGGAACAAAGGGAGCTCTGAAGAACAGGGCAGTCAGAGAAGGCCCTCCCTTCACAGGTCTCAACATTACTGCCTGGTGACCCATGTGTGTGTGCACGCACGCATGTGTGTTGTTATCATTGCTGGCCAGGTTCTTCTTCCACATCCCACTAAGAAAACCCATAAACTCTGTGTGGTTCCTTTGGGTTCTTCAAGAGTAGAGCCATGTCACCCCACCAGGTGGAGCACAGTTAGCCTGGAAGCCACTAACACATCAGCCCTGTGCTCACCTCCCAGTTCTGACTTCTTCAACTCAGGGTAAGTGCTCTCCTACTGAATCACACCCCAAGCCTCCCATCCTTATAAAATACATTGACGGGACAGACTGCTTTTGAATAAAAATAATCTGCTTTGAATAACAATAGCTCAGTGGGTGAAGGTACCTGCTGCCAATCCCTGGGATCGGCACAATGATAAAGAACTGAGTCCTTCACGTTGACCTCTGCAGTGGCATTTCATTTGTATTTTAATAAATAAAGCCTGCCTGAAGATCAGAGAGTAAAACAGCCCTGCTGGTCAGCCTTATGATCAGGCAGTGGCGACACACTCTTAATCCCAGTAGCCAAACTAGTTGTCACAGAAACTGGGTGGTGCATGCCTTTAATTCCAGTCTTAGAGAGGATTATAAAACAGGAGACAGCTCTCACACACAGTCTCTTTCTGAGATTCCTAGAGACAGGATCACCATTTTGAACTGAGGTCAAGGTAAGAGCCAGTGGCTGGCTGCTTTGCTTTTTGGATCTTCAGGTTGAAGCCCAATTTCTCTTTGAGTTTTTATTAATCATGCTTCAGACCTCTGCTCTCCACACACATCGAGAGACGTGCAAGAATATGCACATTAATAAATGTGAAAAGAAATCCTCTGAAAACCGAGACTATGTAGGCTGCAGTCATCAGCTCTGGAGATTTGAAGCCTGGATCCCAAGGCTCTGAGAAAGACATGGCAGGAACATCCCCCATCCCATAACTAGCACCCTGCACCCAGTTCCACCAGCACCCTGAGCAAGCTTTCTGAACCACTTCTGACAGGACCCCTTGTCCATCTTGGTGACACTTGGGGATACTTTCTCTTGATTCCTGAAAAACATCTGACCTCAGGTAAATCAGGAGACTCCTGGGCCAAACCTTGTGTGACTCTATCAGGTGGTTGGGGTACACAACCCTTTCCTTTGGTATCCTCTGGAAGCATTGTACTAAAATGGCTACAGTTAAGAGTTGAAAGGAAAACCACGCTGGGGTGACTGGCATAATCACTGTTACAAAGTAGCCCTGTGTGTCTACTTAAGAACCTGTAAGCTTCATGGACTCACAGGGCAGACACAGCTAATGCTAAGATCTCTGCAGAGGGAAATGCAGAAGGCAGAGAGTGAAGCTTTGCCCTTAGCAGCTGGAGGGAAGCAGGAGCACTGAAATGGGGAGCTCCGGAGAAAAGTGGGTGTGGCTAGGAGCATGAACCGGGACTCCTCAGTGGGGACAGCATACCTGGGAGGAAGTGGACCAGGAAGTTCGACACTGTCAGCTCCAGCAGGTTCTGCTCTATCCCTTTTGCTTGACTTCTCCAGTCTCCCAGAGCTCAGGCATGGAGTGAGGGTCCCGCTTACCTAACACCTACAGCTCCAGCAAGTGCAGCTCTACCCTATCTGTTTGACTTCTCCAGTTCCCGGGAGCTCAGGCATGGAGGGGAGGGGGTCCTGCTTACTGGGTCTCCTCAGACATTCCAAGAGGAAAATGCACTTTAATTTTAGTGATTTTAATTTAGTTTTCACTGAGATACACCATGTACCCGACTAGAAATGCATTTCATGTTTTCAGACCGAGAGGCACCAACCCTACCAGGTATTCAGACCCAGAGATGTGCTCTCAGCCCCACCCCTCAGGCCAGCCTTACTTTGGTGACCTCCAGCCACTGACAGTCGGTGCGTGGATCATTAGTTCCCGAGCACTGAAACCATCTTCATGTCCAGAAGAGCTGACCACTACAAATCCAATCTTGTGGGGCATTCTGCACACATGGGCTGTTCACAAGATCAGGGAAGAGTTCTGAGAAGGGATTCAACTAGGTTAGATGAGGTGTTAGCTCATGTCATACAAGGTAAGTCACAGAGTACTCAAACTTGCCCATCACTCTGAAAAGGTTAGCTTATCTACAAAACATTTTTAATGAATGTTCTAATTCTACTTAACACACCATTTAAGCTATCTTGATTTTCCTGAGAGTCTGACCTGTGCTGCAGCTGAGTTACATCCTCACTAATGATCAGAGTCTGCCTTTGTTGTGTGTGAAAGTTACCTCACTGGGATTTCTGCAGATGTGATCAAATTAAAATGATACCCTATTGGGGAATCCATGTGGCTGGTGCACTTTGAGAAGAGGAAAAGGATCTGGGGTGAGTTCCACTAAGGGACAATGCCCACCTAGCATACAGAAGGCTAGGTGTGGGCTTCATCTCCAGAACCCATCCCCCACAAAACAATCCCTAAAAAATACATGCAAGAAACACATGCAAGAAGTGAAGGCTCAGACACACACAGGGGTAGGGGTGCCACATGCTGAGAGACTGGAGCCACTCAGTTAAGGCTAAGGGTGGTGCTGGAGCTAGAAAAGGCAGAAGGACCCAGACCTCAGAGACGCTTGTCCCTGCTGCCATCTCAGTGCCAGCCCTCTTGCTCTGAAATTCCTAAGCCATCCTACTTGTCACACTCTCATGGTAAAACCAAAGCTTTTGGTAGGGTACAAAGTCTTTCGGTATTATCAAGGAAACGGACAACTAGCAATGATTAGGAAGGGCACCTAATCGTTAGTGTAAATGTGCAGCCCTAAGGAATGCAGGATGCACAAATACACTGCTGCAATTGTGAGCACAGTTGAGTTGGAAGCCTGACTCAGGACATTTAAAAGTGTTATCTGTGAACAAGATGGACCAGGACCATCTGCTGGCTCCCAGATCCTCAGAGGATGTGGAAAACTACCAAGCGATGCTTACCAGGGCACTTGGAGGATGTGAGCTGTCATGTCAGCTTTGCTGACCTGTGTCCTAGCTCACCACCATCACTTGGAGGATGCGAGCTGTCATGTCTGCTCTGCTGACCTGTGCCCTAGCTTACTACTGTCACTTGGAGGACATGTGCTGTCATGTCTGCTTTGCTGCTTGGCACACATGCTCTCCATGCTGGAACACAGCACACAGAGTCAGCGATGAGCTGACGACTCTGCACTCCCCTCCAGCCCTGGTCGGGACCGGTTATACTTCCTAGGCTTGGACAGTCCGAGAATTCCACATCCATGCACAGTGAGGGTTCATGGATGGGAACACACATATGTGTTGCCCAGAGGGAACAGGTGACACTCAATCCCAGGATTATACTGAGGCCACAGCAAAGGAGCTCTGTCCTCAGAGAGACTCCTACCACAAGAGTCCAGGGCTACTGAGGCCACCAGCAGAGGAGGCCCTGCCCAAGTGAAGCTAACCTTGGGCTGGAGCAACAATGTCAGAGAGCAACACATGGGCATGGCTATTTCTCAGTGACCAAACCAATCAAATACTTGCTAAGTAGACAACTGCTGGTGAAATAAATCATCATCAGAAAAAACAACAATCCTCCTAATACAGGAAAAAGAAGTGCATTGGAGGTTTCTTGGAATAAGACGCATCACTGAAATATTCTGTAGGCAGTGCTATCCAAAGTACCCGCAGGAGGCCCGGCTCACGTGAATATGCCTGATGTATAATTCAGAGCTTTTGCTTACTTTCACTGGATCAGTGCCAGTCTGATGCCTACTGGCATGTTTTGTTTTTGGAATGTATGCACTAAAGTACTAAAGCTAGCACAGCAAGTCACCGTTAAAGGTGCTCCACTGAGTTCCCTGTGTCTGACGCAGCAGAGCGGAGGAAACAGACCCAGAACTCAATCAAGAGTGGTTCATATGCATAGCTGGGAGACTTAACATGCGTCTCCTCTGACTGGGAGACTACACTCCTGGGTCACTCAGGTCCTGAGCCTGGAGCTCCTCTCAGGCACTAGACTCCCCTCTAGCACCCACGGAAGCATGTAAGGTCTTAATGCATTCAGCCGCTTCCACTGCCTTGCCTCTCCTGTTCCATGCACGTTCCTGCCAGACAACATTCTTTACGCCCAGCTTCAGTTACCGCTATCCAGGTCTTCATTCCAAAGCCCTCTGTGGCCTCCATCTAGGAATTAAAATGCTGCTTCTGTTCTGACACCTCGTTTCCCCCATTCTTACTTCTTATCTTGAAATTTGTTATTTTTGAGACAGAGTCTCACTATTTAGCTTTGACTAGCCTAGAACTGAGTATGTAGATGACACTGGCCTCAAATTCACAGAGATCCTCTTGCCTTGGCATGCAGAGTTCTGGGATTAAAGGCATGTGCCACTATGCCTCCGCATGCTGTAAATTTTAGAAGGATCCAAACACATAGAGGTATGCCCCTGGCTCTGACTTCTTCAATTCTTTGACCAGCTTCAAGGGCCTGGCCTATGCCGGTTGTGGTAGCACACACTTTTAATCCCGGCACTATGAAGGAGGATCTCTGTGAGTTAGAGGTCAGCATGGTCTGTGTAGGAGTAACGGCTACATAGTGAGACAATTTTAGACAGACAGACAGACAGAGAGAGAGAGAGAGACAGAGACAGAGAGACAGAGACAGAGAGACACACAGAGAGACAGCAGGCAGGCCAGATTTCTACCTTGATAACAGTTTTACTCAGCTGGGGCTGCATCTCTGGTCTTAACTAGCACCTTCTGAAGTGCACCGAGACTTACAAACAGAACGTTAAAGGCAGATACAAGTGTGTCCCCAATAAAACCAGAACAAATAACTGGTACTGAGATTCTGGCAAGAGGGCTGTGGAGCTGTGGGGCTGTGGGGCAGTGAGGGCGAAACACCAGGAACTCAATATGGACATCTACAAAACCATCCACTTTCAGACCCGACACTGCAGGAGGCTTCCACTCCCTACTCCTCCCCTTTGCCCCAATCATCAGGAGCCTTGGCACATGCTCGTGGCTCCACAAAACACACCGCGGAAACTTCTGGTCACCAGACGTAGGTGGTGTCCTAGCTGGACCCAGGGCAACCATAGCCAGCAGTGTCAGGTGACATTTACCCTAGCATTGCTTATAAACTGTAACTAGGCACAAACTCTATATTTTTGGTTGTGACCCTTCCCTTTAAAGCCATCTCTTTAGCCCTAAGTCCAAAACCAACGTAGCAACTTCAAACATTTTGTTACAAAGAAATAAAAAAATGTTTCTAGTTTTCTTTTCAAGAAACGCAAATGTTACAATATTAAGTGTTATTTGGGACCGATTAATCGTAAGCATTGAAAGTGTTTTTAGAGAATCTTTAAGCTTTAAAAACATCTCAAACCAAATCCAACTACGAAACAAACCCTCAAACAACACGGATCAAAGTGTCTGGCTTACCAGGGGCCAGAGCTACAGTCTTCAGCCTCGTGGTAACTGGTCCTGCTCAGTAACGCATCCAGAAGAGGACAAGTCGGGGCTGGAATCGGATTCCCGACACGAAGGCCGAGATGCGCTGCCCAGAGGCCTCAAGCAGGCAGCGGCCACGTCCCTCCACGGCCAGATGTCTTCCGCCTCGGTGCCTGCTGAGGACCGAGGCCGCGCGGGGTCACAGGGCGCCACGGAGACAAGCAGGCGGGATGCTGCCGCGATGCCGGCCTCCGCTCGCTTCGGAGGGGCCTCGCCTCGGTCCGCCCGCCCCCACCCCGGGCCACTGAGGCGAGGGC